AACTTTGACTTTTTAGATGTCCAGAATTATTGAATTCTTTTATTCGCATAGCAAAAACCATATTTTGTTGATTCTTAGCTAAAACAGCCGACCTGTGGCGAAAATTAATTGCAGTGCTAGTTAGTCGTTGTGGTGTTATACAGGGTATTAAAAAGAAAGGGTTTAAGATTTTAGATGCTTATAGTGCTCATTGAGTGGAGTAAAAAATGTCTAATCGATATAGGCCCTAGAATCAATCCTCTCGATGAACAATACGGAAGTTCATTTTCATATTTATCACAGATGTTCGATACGTCTTCCTTCCATTTCAATATAAAATTCACATCTGCGAACAACATACATTTTCAGACATTCTTAGCTTATATTACTCAATGAAATATAATAAACAACTTATTGATTTCATTCGTAACCTAAAAGGATATGTATTTAAGGAAAGAAAGAATTTTCTATCTTTGTTGTCTTTATGAATTACCTTGTGAAATGCTATTTTTCATAAAAATCCACTGTGTACTTATGACAGGTAGACACTTAAATATTGAACGAGGGGCAGGTTTTTTTCATGAATTTTCATTTTATCGAGTTAGAACTTTTACATATTTGTCATACTGTTACACATAGAATAAAAGTACTATACTCAAGGAGTTTATTCATAGAAGAAAAAAGCAAAAAATCATTTTTTTTTCGTTGTGCCACTATCAAAGCAAAGCAACGATATTATTGCAAACGTAACCGAAAGTAATGATTATTATGAATAATTTAGAATATTATACTACAACTCTAATTTATAACCTATTAGAACTACATACTATACTATCACTATTTTAAATTTGTCTAACAATCCGTAACTAATCAGAAGCGATAATGAAAGAATATGAATTTTTACAACACACTGTATGTATGTGCTACGAAAAATAAGTGACCCCTCTGGAGCTAAAAAAAGGCTTTCCGTCCTCTACAGGTTAATTTCGTTAAATTTTTATAATAGTACAAAATTTCGAAAGTTTACCATTTCAAGATTGACCAATGAATCGTGAATCATAGAGTAAGAAATTCGAGTCAATAGCGCGGCTAGTTTTCGCCGGATAAAGTCGGTAACATAATTAATGCGACGGCTGTTCTGGTGATTTCAACGCGCTGTAAGATAGAACGTCCGCCGTTCGAGTGATTTCAACGCGCGGTAAGACAAAAATCGTGAACACAGACTAAACCATAAACCTTTCTGGATTTATACAACACTTGGCAAACAGTTTCCGATCACACGCATTAATGGTAGGGGAGACCTGGGGAGATTGTAACAAAAAAAGTTTTCTCAATTTTATCTCGAGAGTGTTTTCTTCAATCAGGAAATAGTTTGCGTGACTTACTGCTCATGTATTTGGTCAATTCACTGAGCGTAAATATGTGGCAAAATGTTTCATACTAACAAGGGAACATCGGGGACTGATACACTCCGATTTTGATGAAACTTTGCATAAATATTTATTAGACCTATTTAAGAAGATAGCTGTAAGTCGTTCGTGCCCGCTTTTCACTTTGAGGGAGATATCAACCCCTTTATCCAAACCGGCCTTTCTATATACGTGTTTATAAGTCGTAAACAACGTTATGTAAAAGATATGTGATTTCATTGCTACCTATCACCGAGAAACTTTTTTTTTTTAGCCACTTCGGCAAAATAGTTATAACTAAACTGCGGATGTTTAAGCATTTACAGCGTCCCTTGACTTGCAAAACGTAGCTACTTGTTAATAAAAATTCTAGTAAAGGTTAATATTATTTATGCATTATTACCAACGTATTATAACCCATATTATAGAAAAGAAATTTCTGTGCCATCTTGTTTTTTCTATATTAGTGTCCAAAATTATAGATTTGCATAAACATCCGCAGTCTAGTTATAATTTTAAACGAACTGTATATGTTTACTTTCAAATAATACTCGGTAATCTTAAAATATATTCAAATATACCCACAAAATTTCATGTTCAGATTATCGCATAAAAAGCTCCCTGAAAATCATCTCATTTTTAGCGGTTTATTTGAGTCATCCACCCTTAACTTACATTCCATTATTTTTACACTTGTATTCATTTCAAACGTACCTAAGGTCGTGTTTCAGAGGGGTTAATCTTTTATTCAGGTCGAACGTCGAAGGCACGATTATTGGTTAAGTAATGGGGATTTATCGGAGTTCGTTCCCGATTGAATATTATCTCCAATCGATGGGGCATCGTTACGCGTCCATATGCATAATGCATTCACGAATACCCCCGCGAAAGTGTAATATGAAACGACGCTTTTGTATTCTCGGTACACGTCGCGAGATCGAGGGATCATGAGATGGTTGAGAGAAGAAAACCATAAGGGGGAAGGGATGGGACCGGATCGTGGCGGCGTAATTGGTCGATCGGAATGCGGGACCATCAGAAATTCTCGCGTAGTTTCCTTTAATTCTTTCAATTCTGCTGATACTGACAAATTCCACCTCGTTACACCGTCCAAAAACTTGCGCCGCTGGCCCGTGGCCGCGAGTGTAAGAAGCGGTCATAACCGAATACGCCTGCTTCACGGGAATTTACGAACGCGACGATATTGAGGTATGAATCGTTTTCATGAGTTTAATCCTGTGAATTGATAAAAGAATTTGTTCGCTGACGTTTATAGGCGTTGCGAACACCTTTAGCTCCTTTGTCATCTATGAACTTTCTTAGAGGTGGGTTGGAACTAGGGCTGTTACGAATATGCGAATTTGATATTCGAATATTTTGAAATATTCGAAATATTCGGATTATTCGAAGAATTTGAAGTATTTGAAGTATTCGAAGTATTCAAAGTATTCGGATTAATCGGGCTATTTGAATATTCGAAGTCACCAAATTTGGCATTGTACTGAATAGGAATCTGAACATAATATACATGTTTTTACACACTTTATCGTGGAATTCTTTTCACATTGGCCGTTACCATTATTTGTATTTCAAATTTATATTCGGTACAATCCGAAATTCGATCACGTCTATTATTTGAATATTCAAATGGTACCGGTACTCCGTACTATTCGAATTATTCGAATACTTCGTACTACATACTCGAATTATTCAAAATATTAGAATACTTCGTACTATTCGGATTATTCGAAGTATTCATGGTATTTTGCAGAGTGATTTACAAGGACCAGAATAAATGTACAAATTTCTTTCTTCTTTTGAGTATCTTCTTGGGTTAAGAATAAAATAGAGAAGTCGTTGCATTTGATAAAAGTTTTGTCTTTTATTATACTTCATAAACTCTACAGGGTATAAATGCATAACATCCGCAGTCTAGTGATAAATAATTAGTACCATGTGATTTAATAAAATTTATCTATACTAAACACGTAAAGTGTGAGTGTTGTATTTAGTAATATTAATATAAGTAGATGGCGGAAGATCGATTAGTAAGGTATCAGATTTGTTTACAAATTCCATTAAAGGTGAAACAATAAAATGGTACTGCACAATTCGAAATGAACACTATTTTATTTCTACATATTTTCAATAAATATTGTATCAACAGAAGAATATTTACAAAACTTAAGTGCAATATTTACATACACAGCATACATGTTTTAGTTAATTAAATAATTCTACGCTTATATGATACAGTGTTACAGACTGTTTTTAGTCTTTAATTCTTTAATTTTTGTACCAGCACGCGAATGTTACTATAATAGTTTGATTTAATTCTCTGTATTAATGAATAATTCACTGATTGTTGTCGAGAAAATTAAAAACAATTTTACCGAACGTAGTGACAATAAGATACCTGAAATTGAATCTAATGGATATTTCCATCCTATTAAATAGACAGTGAATTACTAATTGATACATAGTATACTTCTTACTATAATAAAAGAACTTAACAATCTCAAACATACACACATCTACATAAACAATTTCCACCGATTTTCAAAATTTCGAATTCTACTCTAGACGGAGAAAACTGTACATATTTCTCCAAACAAATGAATTCTGTTACGTAATTAAAATTTGTTTGAAAATTACATAAAATTTCAGAAAAGGAATACAAGTTCTTTATAACTCGACCTAATGCTTAATCACCATAGGGGGTCGAAAAAAACTAAGTATCTATTTCTCCTCGCAAGATCTTTCAGGAACACGAAAGAAAACGGAAAAGTTATTGACTCGAAGAAAAGCCTGAAAGCTTTTCCAATTAAAGGTTCTAAGAGGTCGTCATAGTTGCTCTTCAAGGATCTAAGAAAAATTGTCAAAGCAAAGGAAAGCCTAAAATAACACGTGACCTTCAAATTAAAGTTTCTAAAAGGTCTTCAAGTTTCCCCCTTCAATGCTCTAAAAAGTCTTCAAGGTTCTAAGAAAATTTGAAAATTGTCGAAATAAAGGAAAGCCAGAAGTAACACCTAACCTTCCAAGGATAACTCAAAAACTAATCGACTGATCATTTTCGAACAAAGCTCATTCAATTCAGTCTACCTTTTTCCAGGGATTATGCATAAAATTTCAATCACATTTTTCATTCACAATATTTTGTTCAACAGTATAAAATCAATTTACCTTCCGAAGAAAGTTAATTTTTCTTCCAAACGCTAATACTTTTTCAATTTGTCATATGTTTTTTTACAAACAGGTATAATTCCAGCGTAAACTATCTACCTTAAAGAAAATGTATCATTGATTACTCTTAAATGACTATGACAAATGCTGCACTGTACGCCATTAAGAACTATTTAGCACGATTGTTCTGTGTCCAAAAAATAATAACAAAAATTGAGGGCGAAAAATTATTTCTTTTAATTCAAGAATGTCTCCATCCATCTGAAGATAGTTTATTCCCCTATTGCCAATAGTTTTTGCAAGAAAAATTCATAAACATCACTTGCCGTTAGAGCTATTACATTGGAATCCTCCTTTAAAGATTCCAAGAGGTCCCTAAGGCTCCTCTTCAATATTCGAAAAGGTCTTCAAAGAACCTCTGCGACCCTTCTAAGAGGTCTTCCCGTACTTTTCCGCGAAATTCTCAATTCCCTCCAGTATTCTTCCCCCGTATTCCCACCAACCAACATCATCCTCATGCGATCGAGAATGTCCAACCGCCTCAGCGAGATGGGACGGAAACGTGATCTTGTGTCTGGCCACGCTCTTCAGCACCAATGCCGCGATGTAGATGATGAAGTATATGCTGAAGTACAGCGGAACGTACCAGAGTTTCTTCCCTATGAAGTAGTAAGAATACGGTCGTTTGTCCAATCGTTGATCGTTCATCTCCGGTTTCTCGGTGTGATCGTGGTACTCTGGTATATGATCGTAGATCACCTCGTGATGGAAATCGTGATCATGGTCGTACATGTGGTCGTCGTACGGTGGATGATCGTGGGGAGCGGAATATTCGATCGGTTTCGGGGCTGGGTCGCTGGGATAGGACGGATCGGACGGGAAATCGGGATAATCGGTATCGTCCGGCTTGTAGGAGTCTGGAGGCTGAAAATTATTACGCGAGTGAGCTTTGAATTGTTTTACAAGGTGGGCCGGAAATCGTAGTAGAACCGAGCTTGGGGTGATTCTACGTTAAAAAAGAAGAAAATATTTAGGTATAACATTTTCGCATCCGGGATTCCGTCCTCGAGAAAATTGACTTTAAAATTTGTTCAACTTATAAACGAATTAGTACAATTTGCTTGTGTAAAAAATAATAAACAATGAGTAATCAGTAAAAACACTTTGTATGTTTTATCCACACAATCAACAATGTTTGTAAACACTGTCCCGGACAGAGACAACCGCAATAGTGAAATACACGACAAGCAAATTATATTAAATCGTTTACAAGTTGAACAAACTTTAAAGTCGATTTTCACGAAAACGGAGCCCCGAATGAGAAAATGTTATACCAAAATACTGTTTTCTATTTTAACGTAGAATCACCCCCTGCCCGGTTGTACTACGATTTCTGGCCCACCCTGTATAAATGAAATATCTAAAAATTATTGAACTTATCCTATGAATAACTCAATCAATTAAAATAACAATCACTAAAAAAGATTAAACTTATAAATATTAAATTTAAAGGTAACCGATGGAATAACAAAATTCAATATCAAGAAGTATTCTTCTTGTAATAATTCTTGGTGTAATTGTTATTATTAAAAGATTTAGAGATTTATTTAAATAAATTAGTAATTTATATACTTGAAAATTTAAAGAAATTCGTTTCCTGTACTAGATATATTATTATGCTGACAATATATGGATATCGTTCAATTTTATTAAAATATTTATTTTACTGAATTTTGCATGTTAAAATTTCCTATAAATGCATCAACATTACCAGTCAATTTGTATTCAATTTTGTATTCAATATCCTATTAAGAATCATCTTGCATTAAAATATCCTAGTTTTCATTTACTAATCTTAAGATGGCAGTAATTGGCACATCTACTCTACTGTCACTAGAAATCATATACAAAAAAAAAATAAATATTGAAGTATTCGATAAATACAGAAACGAAATGCAATTTGACGTCAGCTGAAGTATGAATAAATCTCCATTTCCTGTCACGAAGAATCATTTACGAAAAATAAAAGAAGTATTGACGTAAACACGAAAGTATCAATAAATTTTCATTTCTTGTTACGAAAAATCATTTTCAAGAAAAGAAGAATCGTTATAATATTCGATAACAGTTTTTTACCTTGTCGTTCGTATCGAAGTCTGTGTAATCGCTCATGGACAATGGCTTCGAGATCGGTTTGTCCGCTAGATAATCCGGCGGTTTCGACATTGGTTTATCGCTCAGATACTCCGACGGCTTCGAACTCGGCTTGTCGTTGATGAAGTCCGGCGGTTTGTAATTGTAACTGCCCGAAAATGGCGGCTTGGAAAAGTCAAATGAACTGGAGGACGGAGGTCCACTTGGTGGTCCACTTGGTGGTCCACTTGATGGTCCACTTGGTGGACCATTTGGTGGACCATTTTGTGGTCCACTTGGTGGACCATTTGGTGGACCATTTGATGGTCCACTTGGTGGACCATTTGGTTGACCTCTTGGTGGACCACTCGGACGAATCATCTGGACAGGTCTCGAACTTTGTTTCGTGTCATTCGGTGGATCTTTATTTTTGAAAGAAGTAAACGGCCCCGGGTGGTATCTGTCCTTGATCTTCTTGTTTCCGTTCAATCTCGCTAGCAGCTCGTGGTCTAACGTCGAATATCTGCGCATTGTTTATCAGTCGTACCAATAAGTAGGTAACCATATCTTTTTAGGTCTTAGGAAATCGAACGCTTATTGTATTTCTGTAAGACAGTGACTCACAAGATTGGTCACAAAAGGCTGTCACTTATATTTGACCAAGTTATTTACCAAGATACGAATTTTACTTTAAAATTAAGAAAAATGTATCACAAAAGCATGATAAACGTAATGACAAAGAGAATATATGAATAGAAATTGTTATTTAGAAAGTCTGTGAACGAATGTGTGAATTTAAACCATGTTATACTAGTTCGTTGAGAGAAATAGCGAGTTCCTTATTGGTACACGTAATATATACTTTCTCGAGAACATTATAAGTTCACCTCGTTTTTGGTTTTTTTATGTGGCATTATTGAAAGTGCATTTTCTTTTCTGCAGACTTACGTAAAAACATATTAAATAATATTATAATAGCAAATTTTATATTATTTACGTAAATAATGAATTATTATGCCTTTTATAAAAAATTATGTTTGTTATTTGAAGAAACAAAATTGTTCACTTATAAGAAACAAATTATTTAATAACTAATAATAATAATAAATTAATTCTGCAATGCTATTCCTGATGTCATGAAGACTCTGTTAGTCTGTTGCGATAAACGTGAAATACGTTTCAATTTACATTATTATAAATATTGGCTTAGTCCATAAATTGATGTTTACTTGTGGGAAATGTTGTATAGAGAATTTATTAATGTGTCGTTCAGTGCCAGTTAAGCAATAAAAATGAATTAATAAAGTTTTCAAAGTAGATGAGATAAGGAAATCTGCAATGTGCCATACACAGTTGCCTAATCATATAGAATCCTACTACAATCTTGATCATACATTGATTATTCTTTAAAAATAATGAATTTATCAATAGTTAATTTATTTTTAATAACTCTTTGAGAGTAATCCATAATCAATTATGTATTCCTTAAGAATAACCACCCAGATAATACATCGACGGCATAATGACGGCTTATAGATGCCTCAGATCCAAAATAGCCGTAAAATGGACGTTTTCAAGACGTCATATGCTATCTGGGTATTTAGAGAAACAAAATCATTCATTTCTCCACTTTCGACAATTTTAATAAAAATTACGGTTTCTCCTTAAAGTAAAGGTTATAACACAAAATTAACGATTGTCGTACCTCGAACCAGACGTATAATCGACAGCTTCGCCGTTTTGCAATTTTGGGATCTTCGACGGTACGTAGACAGGGGACACTGTAATGGCGATGTTCTTCACGCTCCTACCCTCGTTTTCCGTCTCGCTGTTTTGCGATATAATTCTTAATAATCGACAGAAAACAAAAATACATTGTTATGTTTGAACGAAAACATTAGGTTGTTACGTAATAAATAAACTGTGGATTAGATGCATGTATAGAATATAGAAGTATGTGAAATACAGTAAAACACAACAATTCGATCGAGTTTACTAAATTTATTAGTTTATTTTTAGCCCACTAGAATCTCTAATAAAAGAAAGAATTTCCTATTTTTACACATCACTTCATAAAATGACACTTTACATAAAGATCCGCAGTTTAAATGGTAATAAACGTTGCTTTTCAATACGGTTCATTTCAGCTATCTTTAATTCGTGAAACATACGAGATAACGAAGTTTGTAACTCATTAGTAAACAGTGTGGTCGATTGGAATAGATCATACTTCGATTGAATATATTTCTTCCAAAATGTGTACGTCATAATCAGTTCAAACTCTGCCATTCAACACTAGAACTACCGAACGATAAACGTATCGCTGGACGCCGCGACATTTCTCGGCCTACTGCGACTATAATTTTAGAGTGTCCGCAAATTAAAATACTGTATTTTAAAGAGCAACGATCAAAAAATATAGACATATTTTTTTCAAATTTTATAAATTATAACCTATGGATCAAATTTGCAAAACAAAAATATTTGTAATATTTTTGCATTGGAAAAATAACTTTAGTGCAAAGAAAAAAATTAGTTATAAAGAACGATCCATTATGATAAAAATAAAATAAGAATCAAGTTCGTATCCTTAATAGTTACGAAGATAAAACTTCTTTCGGGATGGTAGTTCTCGTAAAAATTGGTGAAAATTGCGAAGTTTGAGGGTCGGCACTTTTTAAACAATTTCGAATTTTCAAACTTCTTTAAATTTTTAACTAAATTTATACTTATTAAAAATTTCCGGAAGCCACCTTAAAAGCCAGCGTTACACCTGGGGATCTCTCCTTGCCAGTTGCCAAGGAGCCTTCGAGTATTCATCGAGGATTTACTGTATTCGAGTGTGACGATTTAACTTTTTCAGGGATACTGGCATATCCGTGTACGCTAATTTTTCTTTAATTCAAGCATTATTCCACAAGATACAATGAACATTAGTGTAAATCAATATTCACTAAAAACTTCTCCAACAAAAAAAAAAAAGATATCCTATCAACTGTCTGACATTAATATTAACAAATACACTTTGAATAAGTACAGTTGAAAAATAAAAAACGAAATATTATTATTCTTTTATCCTAATAAATTCTTCCCTGAAAAGGTTAAATAGGACACTCTGTACAACAATTGCTATTTATCCCCCGAATGAACGAAACAAGTCACGAACCTGGTGATCCAGGACGTCCGATCGCTCCTCGACTCCGTATCCTCCTGTCCGTTCCTCGACACTTTCGCGTACGACATCACTTCCGGTAACACCGTGGCGACCGACAGATCCGTTAAAAGTACAACGATCAATATACGTAACATCTTCACGGTCCGTCCAAAGATGAATGATTGTCGATCTCTGGCTCTTGTCTCCTATATATAGACTCGTAACTGTATCCTACCTGGTTCGAGCCTGGAAATTTACTGTCCATCTTCAATTCCCGCTATTTTTATCGAATCGCGTTATTTCTTTACTCCACCGTCGAAATAACACCATGAAAATTCCAAAGAAATGATACTCGAGCTGCTTGTCACCGGTTTCGATTCATCTTCGCCGGTTTCGATTCGGTTTCTTGATATCGACCAGATAACACACGAATGGACGAAAATTTTACTGAGTGCTGGGAGCAATGCTAATTGCCTGGAAACGAGGGTTGACGAAGTCGTTCTAATCGGTTCGACAAACTTTAACACACCGTTACCAGAGGAGGATTCCTAGAGCAGGATACCGAGAAAGACAACAAGGAAGATCGTTAACGCGTCCTTGACCGGAAAATCGTTGATCCAGATTCATACGGATGCTTGTCTCTTTTTGCTCAAGGTTCTCGTATGAGGAAAAGAACGATGGAACCGTTGTTTTTTTGCTTTCAATTAGTCATGTTTCCGTTTATTTCTTCGTCGAAACTGTACTGATGGAGGACAACATGTAAGTTTAATTATCCTTATTATTGTACAATCAGGGAAGTTGTAATTATGGGCTATTTCCTGAACAGTTATACAGGGCCGTTCCTGGGTTGTTGGCCGCCCGGGCTTGAAAACAGTATCGCTGCCCTTATTAATTTAATATTAGTCAATTAAGAATTTGGTATGCAGTGTTTACTTATATGTATATAATAATAATAAAATATTCATTTTAAATAAAACCATTTTTTAAGGATCATTGTTTCATTTATGAACATAAAAGATATTTTTTAATTTTTATTTTCACAAAATTTTGCAAAAGATCCTTCAAAAATAGTTTTATTTAAAATAGATATTTTATTCCACGTGTAAGTACGAAACTCACGCATAATGTTTGTAATAATGATGTTGTGCTTGATAAATAGCGACTATTAATTACCTACAGGAATTTAATCCATTAAATATGGCTAAATATCATATGCTATTTCAGACTGTCCATAGAGTTCCTTCCAGTAGGTACCCATAAGAGTACTGTTACACAGATTACATATGCACTTTATTTGATCAAATTCTTTCACTCTGAAATGTTCATAAACATTCGAAAACTTTTGATTATCATTCTTACTAGTCCAAGTTTTACATACAATAAACGATCTGCGGCCGCCCCTGAGTTTGGTCGCCCTTGGGCACCTTCTGCACCCCCGCCAGGAACGGTCCTGCAGTTATATATCACATTGTTCTGTCGTTAAATCGCGGTGTTTCATTGTTTTAACAGCGTTCGTACTGTTAGATCGTATATAATTAGTGTCTATTCTGCTGCGAGTCATTTGCTGCGTCATACGGAACGGGAATTTTCAATTTTGTAGCAGATATAGAATAGGAATATTAGTGACTATCGGTTGGGATAGATTGTTTGTTTTTAATTGACACAGTTTTAGGTAAGTTCTAATTAGTTGTGATTAAGATTTCATCTGTGTAATGAAATTGTTGAAGATATTCTGTTGTTGATTGTATCCGTTTGGAAGGGATTCCATGGTTTCGGTGAGATTGCAACTATTCTTTGGATGCTAGCTTCGCATTGTACGGGATGATTCGAAAAAATGTTGATGGTCTCAGAAATACATGACTCGACTGAATTTTAATAAAAAATTTTTATTTCTTTAACAATTTTCATATCGAAAAGTTTAAATTTCTTTAACAATCTCAATATCATAAAAATTTCAATTTTTTGTTAAATATTACTTTTCTACGAAAATTTTAGTTTTTTTTTCAAAATATCAACGTGTTCCTAAATTTAAATTTCTTCAACAAATTCAATACCGTAAAGAATTTCAAATGTCTTGAAAATTTCAATACCACATATATTCAAAATATTTCAATACTACAAATATGCAAAAAATTTCAATATCTTCAAGAATTTCAATTTCGTCAAAAATTTGAATTTTTTCAATTAAAGTCCATTCTGAACTTCATCTTCTACAGAATTCCGTCGATTTTTGGTAGTTTAACTCATTCAGGACTAAAATCACTTGCAAATTAATAAATATAGCGTAAAGGTGCATATCCATTTGTTGCGTATCATCGAATCGTATCACCGTTGCGTATCATCGTATCGTATCAGCATACGATACATTTCCATACGCAACGATGCAACAGTTGCCCGTCTAAGTTGATACACAACAGTGAAACAATACGAGGATACGCAACAAGTGGATACGCACATTTGAACTTTGTTCGTTTTTAATCATTGTGTACCGTCACTGTCGACATTTTTCAATAATACTGTCAGTATCATAATCTTTCTAACAATAACACTATCGATATCTTAAAAGGATCAGTATCGTCTCACTATTAATAACATTAACCATTCGTTGCAATCATTTTCCAACAGCATTTCACTTAAACTAACAACTTAAATGTCAAGATAATTTCACAGGAGAATTTAATAAGAAATCCTAATCAATAATGCAGCTAATATTTGCTGAACAAAGTCGCAAATATAGTTCAATTTCGATGACTTTAACGCCTGATAACGAAACATCGTCGCTGAAGAAGTGATTTTAACGCGTGGCTAAGACACGTTGCCGGTCTAAAAATTTCAATGCAAGTTTCGAAATAACAATACGATCGTGAACTCACGTTCGGATTAATATACGTATCATTACATACATGTTTTTTTTTACAGTTATGATACCCTATCTCGCTGACAAAAATATATATAATATAACAATAACAAATTGTATATTCCTGTCGATCGGTTTAACGGACTTATAGTAACGTTCACGTTTGTTTAAATGATCTCTAACTACACACGATTAGTGCCTATATTTTCTACATTCTTTATATTACTCTAAAAATAAAACCAATGTACAAAATAGAGATTCAGCGTCATCTTAAAATACAATCTTACATTTACGCGTGGAATCGCCATTTTTCTACAATACTCAACGTTAGAAAACATGTACAGGGTGATTCATAAATCCATGTCAATATTTCAGGAAGTAAATCTCCACATTACATAATACAAGTAAAGAACGTCATATGAACATATGTCCTATATACTACCTTAGTTTTCGAGTTATGGACGATTAGCTTTTTCAGGGACGAATTGATTCAGACCAGGAAGAATGTTTTGTCTTTTATTTTATTAAAATATATTTATAAATATTAACGTCAATCAATTGGTAGACTATTCGTTTTTGTGGAGGAATTTCCTAGTGCAAATTTAATTACAGTTTCAAAAAAGATTAAAGAAAATGTTCGAAGTACGCGATCTCAATCCATTTTTATTTTTGGGAGCATTTAAACATTATTATTCCCAGATAGCATATGACGCCCAATGACGCCTTGAAGACGGCTTAACGACGCCTTAGACCTAAAATAGCTGTAAAATGGGCGTCTTTAAGGCGTCCTGTGTTATCTGGGATGTGCACGATTTGCACGAAAGGATTCAAAATCGATTTAAGACTACTCGAAGAATACAAAGGTACATAGTCCATATGTTCATATGACGTTTTTTGCTGATATTAGTTTGTAAATTTACCTCCAGAAGTATTGATTTACGAATCACCCTGTACAATAAGAGTAACTCAACACTTGGTACTGTAAAGTACATGTACGATATTTAATGATTATAGTGTGCCAGGGTAAATGTCTAAGATGATCGATAAATAAATCTGTCTTCTATAATAATCGTTACTCTCGAGTCTTCGAAAGATGTAACATTCGATCCAGGATTAAATATTTTTTCTCTTTAAACTACACTGTGTCCCTTATGGCTCCAATAGTAAAAGAACATAGCAAAAATCTCGACTTTTCTTATTTGAAAAAATTCGTAAAAGTCATATGTATCCAGAACTTCTACATAATCTTTGAAAATTCGATATCTAGAAGTCCAAAATTTTCTAGAAATGTCTCAGAAAACTTATTCTGAACTACAGATACCTATTTTTATCACGTTAATACTTATTCGCTCTACTATCAACCTAGTAATATCCTTAATCGAATCTTCCTGAATGAATTTCCCAATTGAATCTCGATCAACATCCACAATACCATAATCACAATCTGTATCACCGTTCGAATATTTAGTCCTCTCACCGCCACAATTCATTTCACACGAATATAGAGAGAATTTGTACGAAACGGGAGATTCACAATCACATTTACAGAAGAAATATCCCGCGACACGCGGTTATCAACATTTTGCACGACCTCGAAAGATTCTTGTCGACGTGACAACAATAGAGACTCCAACGAGATGTCCAAAGGAACTTTGTTCATTACTTAATTCATTACACCGATCTTCATCCTTGTCAAAGCTCGGATTCCTCGTTCCGTTCTGTTTCGATCGTTCATTCGATTGTCCGTTCGATCATTAATTCGAGTATTCATTCGATTGTCCATTCGAGTAGTCATTCGATTGTCCATTCGAGTAGTCATTCGATTGTCCATTCGAGTAGTCATTCGATTGTCCATTCGAGTAGTCATTCGATTGTCCATTCGAGTAGTCATTCGATTGTCCATTCGAGTGTTTACTCGATTGTCCATTCGATTGTCCAGTCGATGATCCAGTCGATGGTCCAGTCGATGGTCCAGTCGATTGTGCATTCGATTGTCCAGTCGATTGTCCATTCAATTGTCCAGTCGATTGTCCATTCAATTGTCCATTCAATTGTTCATTCAATTGTTCATTCGATTGTCCATTCGATTGTCTCTTCGATCGTCTATTCAATTGTCGATTTGATTGTCCATTCGATTGTCCAATCGATTGTCCATTCAACTGTCCATTCGATTGTTCATTCGATTGTCCATTCGATTTTTCATCCGAACTTTCATCCGTTTTCTTCAGTCGTCTAGCGTCCAGCTTCTTCCGACCACTATCCTCCACCTTTTCGATCTTGTCGAGGTTTTTCGCATTATTGATCACCTCCATATTATTCTCCAGCTCCCTAGTGAACGCCAGATTATCGATACCAGGCAGATCGTTCGATTTCTTCCAATTTTCGTCATTTTCACGGGGCCTCTTCTCTTCCAACGGGAACTCGATGGTCCCGGTCTCGACGCCATTTTGCTTGTCCATCGTTTTCGGTTTCTTCTTCACGATGTCGTTCCCCTCGACCTGAGGACGCTTCTTCAGGTACGTCACGTTGAAGATGTAGTACATCACACCTGTGACCAGGGTCATGCCAGCGAAAATTCGATAGGTTGGACGCGTTCCAAACGCCTTCATCAAGTAGCCGCCGATCAGACTACCAGAACCTTTGCCTGGAACGATATTTTTGCGGAGGATTAATGATAAGTAGACTGTGAATTATATGCATTTATAGCGTATACGACGACTATGTGAAATGTGATAAATGGTAAGGTTAACATCGGATCTAATATATTTTCTGTCTTATTCTTCTAATAATAAAACCATTAAGAAATGAAAGAAAATTCAAGCTTCACATCTGCCTTTACAAATCACTTCAAAAATTGTTATTTTGCATAAAGTTCCGCAGACTAATGATAAATAAACTGCGGATTTTATACATTTAATAGTGTACACGATTGTTTAAAGCTCAGTATAGAAAAAATATTTAATGAAATTTGACGAGACTTTTGTTTTATTTTGAACATAATAGAATCCTGAATAAGTTAATGGGGTAATCCAAAAGAAGTAGTCGAATGCCAATGCTCGACCATTTAAAAAAATTTAATTTTTTGTGTATGAGTACCCTTATATGTGGACACTTCAAAACCAGCGTCACTTTATCCGAATGATTTTTTGTTTGCACGTAAGAACCGTATTTGGGTTGTGCGGAACGTCATTTCTTGTGATTTCCGGGGGTTCGCGGATATTAGAATATGTAAGTGTCTGATAATCATAGCACCATTGGACTGAAAGCGTCTTATTCAGAAAAGAACGAGCTACAATTATTGTCCTATACACTTTTATCCTAAACCTAACTCTAATAACCAAAAAATGAGTCTGATTTACAAGTTTGGTTATTAGACAAAATGAGAAGTTCAATTCAACATTTTTTTAAGAAGTGGTAAAGTCTCAAAACTAATTCTTGTTTTTCTTGCTAAAGCATACGCCAATTTAGTTGACCGATAAGTTTCAAGTCTGAGATTTAATTTCTCCGTTCTTTTCTGAAAAAGATGCTTTTAGATATAATTTCCGCGAACCCCCGGAAACCACAAATAAAAAATCATTAGGATAAACTGACGCTGGTTTTGAAGTGTCGACATGTAAGAGAGAACATACACAAATAATTAGATTTTTTAAAAATGGTCGAGCAACGACATTGGGCCACTTCGCCTGGAATGACTCAAAGGAATTTCTGTATTAGGCCAATTGTTGTAAAAATGGACAATAAGAATGTATATTTGCATGAATAGTCGCAGTCTAATGATAAGATTGTCAGCATCGAATGTACAGTATGTTCCAGTGTATACGCTCTATTATTTCTCCAACTATTGAAAATGCGAAAAAAACGTTTCTATACTTGATAGAATACTAGAATTTTTTTTCTTAATTCTTATTTATCGAGTTTTTAATAACAATGCAATTTTTTTCCCAGTTAACTTTATGAATATTAATGGCAATTTCATTTCTTCTAATCGGTAACAGATTTTAACCGAACTTGACATTTGCCAGCAATATTTATATAGTTATCCGCGAAATTATTTCATAATTTATAATCATAGTTTGACTTATAATGACCGAAATTTGTTTCTATTCGATAAATGTTTCGAAAAACTTCATGTATACAAAATATTGTCGGATTGATTACTGACCTACACCGTAATAAACTCCACCTAATAGTCCTTGTATCGAAGAGTCGGTGGTTGTCGTTGATAATTTCGCCGCGTAAGTGACAGCGGCGGTGAAGCTCAAAGATAAAGTCACCGATTCTAGCACCTCGAAGATAAGAGTGTGCCATGGATTGTATATTATCGAATAACCTGCAAACAACAAACGTATGAAACAAATATCTATAAAATGAATAAAATTCACAATCGATATATACAGTAGCAAACAAAAAAGTGTTATCATTTATTTAACATCAATTTAAAACCTTAATTACACTGGGTTTTATACAGATTTTAATTCTCGAGCAGAATATATGTATATATTAAAGACATACTTCAGTTGACGTTAAAGAACGATAAAAATAAAAACAAATCGAAAAAGTGGTAACTTTTTTATCTACTACTGTAATTATCAATTTGCACCACGTCTGATAGAATGTAAACAATGATTTCGGAAGCAATTTTATATGTGATTTATTTAACACTCTTCAAAACACAATGTTGAACGTCTTTGGTCTAAAAGGACCATTCCATCAACTTAAAAATAAAATTCCGTTACTAAACAAATTATTTAGAAAGCAATTTGTACAATTTTTATGTGATTTATTTAATATGTTCTTAAACAAAATGTTGAATGTCTGTGACTCAAGGGCTATTCCTTCAACTTAAGACTTTAATTCCATTATTAAACGACAAATTATTTAGAAAGAAATTCGTGCAATTTTTGTATGTGATTTATTTAACATTCTTGAAAACACAATGTTGAATGTCTTTGACACAAGAGCCATTCCGTTAACTTAAGAATTTAATTCCATTATTAATTTAACCACTATATCTGCTTTTATTAAGAAAACCAATGACGAATGTCGTTTTCCTTACAAAAGATAGCTGTAGTAGTTAAAATAACAATGAAATCAAATTCTCGAGACCAAAGAATGATTCACCGAAGCAATTAACGCTTCAATGGCGGCCAGAAAAAGTGGCAGGATGTGACTGGCACGATATCAAGATCCTCAATGATTATTGCGAAGTACACAACCACTCATAAATACACACACATAAGACACCAGGTTTATGTGAAGCAAAATTTGATATTTTATACCACGTTTATTACTTCATAGTATTATAAGCATTGCCCATTGAACTTTAATATCCTCGTTGGAAGACAATAAAATGGACAACGCTTATGTTGCTATGACGTAATAAATGTGGCATACAATACACAAATTTTTATGTAACTACTAAATAATATTTACTTCAAACTTCCAAAAATTTCGTAATGCTTTCAAACATTTATCGCATACTCGATAAATGTTCTAACACATACGAGCGAAAGTGAAATTGCCATGCATGCACGAATTAAAAAAAAAAAAAGAATGGATGCTCACCGCAGAGTCTTATGGCGTAAAAAACGAAGCCTATGAAAAGTACATTGGCGTGGCCGATCTTCGATATGATTGGACCAGATAGTACCAGTAATGGTATACCGGCTATACCGCCTACGGTTATGGTGATACCCATAAGTGATCTTGATCCGCCTAAGTCCTGGATCAGCCAGAAGAGGAACGACTCAATGTAGCCCCAAGCAGTTCCTGTGAAAAAAGGAATAATGTGATTCATTCTTAATTCGACGACCCACCCTAAACATTTATATATGCGTAATATCCAGTTGGACAGTCAGACAAAGTCGATACGTTTGTGTTTCTTATACAGGGTGTTGATAAAGGTGTGGGCCATTTTCAAGGGTGGATTCTAGGCGTTGAAATAATGATAATAGTTCATGTGCAACGTACATTAACATTCGATTGGGACACCTGGCCTGAATGAAGGAAATGCGATGTTTTGTAAAAATTATACAGGATGTTCCATTTAAATTGACCCACTCGAATATCTTCGAAACTGTTGACGATATTAAAACATGTTTCAGACGAAAGTTAAATGGTATCTGGGGGCAAACTTTCTGATGTAACTTTTTTGTATGTAAACGCGTAGAGGTCATACGAATGTCAACTTTATTTTTTCAATGGAATCGTATATTTTTTAATGCATTATTTGATGTTATTTGTTATTCCTTAAATCAAGTACTGAGTCACTAATGGCGATCAATCATTAGTTTAGAAGATATTTTGATTTTAATATTCAGTAGTGGCTTAATATTGTACATATATTAGCACTCACCTTTCTAAAGTTAGTCGTCAAAAGTACGTCCTTCTTAATATAGACTAATAATAAACTTTGATTTTTCCCCATAAGTGACTTAGTCTTTTATGTAGAGAATATCGAGTGGCATCAAGCAGTGCATTAAAAATTATACGATTCCATTTAAAAAAACAAAGTTGATCTTCATATGACCTCTGCTGGTCCTCATAGAAAACAGTTTCGAACGGGACACCATGTATACTTTGCTCAAATATTTTGCAAGGGATTAGTGCAGAAAATTTATTTTAACAAATGTTCAAACTGATGTCAATCAACTTTGATACATTTTGACATTAATTCTTCTATAGTAGTTATTTTATTATTTAAATATACTCCCATACATTTGTGGAGTTTTTTGTGTTGAAGGTCAAATGAAGGTCATACTATTGTAGGTCATTGGATTGGTCTTGTCCTCAATTATTATGTCACGATGATAAAAATACAAAGTCCCATTTAAAACAACATTGATGACTTTGAAATTTCGAAAAAATATAACCTCGAGGACAATTTTTTTCTTATTACCATGTTTGCCCCCTTCCAACCGAATAATATTTTCTGCTCACAGTATGTAAGGTAAGTACAATATGCTCACAATATCTACGGTAATTACACTTTGTTTCAATTTCTTCTGTAGTAAAGCAAAGGCTAATTGTCTCTCGAAAAAAGGCACAATCATCCGTCATGCATAGTCGTTATGCATGAAACGACAATTTACTTTTGTTTTTAAATATTCATGCTTCAACTGGAATGTCAATTAGTTTGAAAAAATTAAGAGATAAACAAAAGGAACACGTTTGAGTTTAATGGACAGAAGACAATGGGACAGGAAACGATCAACTTAACCCTAGGATGCATGACACGGGTTATTTTCTATCTACGTGAATATTTCTTTTTAGATTTTTTCTCTCGTGTAATGAAATAATTGCCCGTGTCTTTGTGTATTCCTTCCTTGCGAATTCATATATGTAATAATGACTTCGTAAGCTGAACAGCAGAATAATTAAGAAAAAATAGTTGCAATTCAAAGCTGCATCGATCAATGCATTAAAATATGTGTTCCATTTAAAAAAATTAAGTTGACTTTCATATGTCCTCTACGCCTCCATCTACCAAAAAACTATTGACATTGAATTATGTCCCCCTTGATACCATTCAACTTTTGTTTGAAACACTTTCCGGCATCACAAATAATTTCAGAGATATTCGAAGGGATCGATTTAAATGGTGCTGCTCTGGATCTTTTTCACTCACGAAATCGTCGCTCTATGTACTTAATTGTTCTATCTCCAATAGTTTCTAAACTGAGAAAACTGAGTTTAAAGTTTACGGAGTTTGATATTATAGAAGCAGCCCAGATAGCACGTGACGCCTCGAAGACGCCCATTTTACGTCTATTTTACGTCTGAGGCGTCTTTAAGCCGTCATTAAGCCGTATGTGTGCTATCTGAGTAGGAAAATAGTGAAACAATCAAACACACTGTAATATCATCTACTCAATATTTAACAAAACTTTATATTATTATCAACACAAATTTGTAATAATTGTTAGTATTTGGAGGTACAACCATTAAGAACAAAAAAACTTTCAAAATTGCGGAGCTAGGACTTAAGAGGATATTTGTTATTTTCTAGGTTAAAATTTCTTTATTTCGTGGTGTATTTGTATTCTTTGGAGCAATGAGACGTAGATTGATTAACTAAATTTTTTTTTAAACGTTAAGTTAGGACAGTTAAGAACTCTGGCGACGATGCGTAAGTCTGATGAACGCTATATGCATGCATCGTAGGGTTAATCGACGCCGAAAAGACGAGTTTGTGTTCGCTGAGGCCACGTGATCGTTGTTGCATCGATGCGGAATGTCAATGTCACTGCAATTTCGTTATTCGACCAGTGTGTGCCGAAGATTAGCGGAAACGGGCAATAACGAAGGTTGCGCAACCTGTTTCAGGCGGTTTACTTTTCGCGATCTGATCGCGCGACGTCCCAAGGAATTTCGGAAATTCACGAGCCTCGACGGTCAACCCCTTTTTCAGCCCTAAATACTTTATATCATAGACTCGACACAGTTACTCTCGATCAATTTCGAAACAGTACACGTTTAGAATCCTTTCAGTATAATTAAAAAATAAATAATAAAAAAAGTAGCAAAGGAATAATCCAAATAATGAGTGCATCTAATTAACTAAGGTAGCTATTTTATTTAATTTGAATAGTTACTCAAAAAAGTATCTCTGCCCATTTCACGCGTGTATAGGATATTTTAAGTAGTTAATTAATTAACTAATGTGAAAGTCAAAGTTAACGATTGTGGTTTATATGGTAAACGAGTTATATGCAGTATGGATCTATTTCCGTTTCTTAGAACGTTGTAACAGAAATAATAAATTCTGTAGTCTTTCTGGTGGTTTGCAAATCTGAATTTCTTGTCTGTATTTTATTTAAAAATATCGATTAATTTTTCCCGTGTACTAAACTTCTTATTTGAACGAAATTAATATCATATTTGCAAATAGAAAACTTATTTTTTTTTCTCATATTTATGTTTCTTCTTATTGCTTTCCATTATTTGTTATTCTTTTAATCGTACTTGTTAAATGGATATTACTATTTTTCTTGTACGACTAAATAGTGACAAAAAAACAAAACATTTCTTTAAGGACCGATAAACAATAAATAATAAATGATCGAAGTTACAAATGACCTCAACTAGTACACAAACGGCTTAATGATGGCTTAAAGGCGCCTCAGACCTAAAATAGCCGTAAAATGGGCGTCCTCAAGGCGTAACATGTTTAATAATTCATTCAAACTTTCCTTCAAATAACAAATAATTATTCTTTGTTGTTAATCTTGTTGTTCGTATTTCTAAATAAGAAGTAATTTTTCATTTAAATTATCTTTTAAACGACGGTTAATTTAAATAATACTCGACTCTCGGTGGGTTTACGGTCGTGATAGAGTTAAAATTTGAGTATGTTCGAAATGGTTTCTCACCTAGAATGAAGCAGGCGATGAATAGGGCTGCAACCTCGATGTTCCTTAAAACGGTGAAAACGTCCCGGACCACGTTGCTCGCTGGTGATTTAAATTCGAGATTGATGGCGAGCATCAGTACACCTGACATGAGTTTCAACGCTGCGTATAGATAGAACGCGGGCCTAGAAAATCCACCCGATTACCGAATAATAAATCTAACGATTCAGATATTAAATTGCTGGAAAATGAGTGTGTTAACTTAATATTAAAATTATTACTGGCATAATACTGCCCCTAATAGGGGATTCATCGAAAGGTAAACATAAATACAGTAAATTCTTGATGAGTGTTCGAAGGCTCCTCGGCACTGAATATTAAATATTTCATAAACTAATGGTCGTATACGGCTGAAACAAGTATCATTCGCTTGAGAATTCCAAATTCTATATCACTGTGATAAATCTCGTTAAAAAGTCAGCGTTACACCTGGCGACTTTTCCTTATCAGTGTCGAGAAGCCTTCGAACACTCATCGAGACTATACTGTAGTCTCATAGACCTTAAGCGACTGACCATAAGAATACTTATTCAGATAGCACATAAAATCTAGTAACGCAAATATAGTGTATATAGCAGTACATAAATGTTTCTAATTAACCACTTGAGGACATATCCTGAGTTAAATTGTTTTCGAGTTTATGTAAAGTGTCCTTTATTCTGAATTAAGTCGGCCCTCTTATACGGACTGAATTTACACGAAATCGACTATATCCACATGACTAAACATTACCTTTCATAATAATAAAATTTCTGTAATAGTAAATATTAATTTTTTGTTTTACATGTTCCCATCTTACCATTTTTAGCACGAACGAATTAATTCGGACACGAGATTTGGTCATTTTTTGAGAGACGATATTGTTTAAACTGAAAACTTTCCTGCAATTCTAATCATGGCATATTATCAGAGTTGGGCAAAATGCAACCTAATTACAAAATCCAAATCACAATTACATTGTAATTGCACTTTTATATTTTGTAATTAGATTATATTTTTCCTAACTCTGCATATTATTCTCTTGCTATACCGATAATTTAAAAAGTAGGTGATTTTTCGATAGGTTTTTGTGGAATAAGTGGGTTCTTAGTGGTTAAATTAGATTTCTGTTTAATGTATCTTTGACGGGGTGAAAGCTTTTCAGCTCTAATAGAATTACATTCCTGTCTGATGTATCTTTGTGAGAGTCAAAGCTTTTTCAGCTCTAATAAAACTAGATTTCTGTCCATTTCATGTATCTTAAACATGGTCAAAACTATTCCAGCAACCTAATATAATAATAATAATAATAATAATGAGGAGTCTTTATTATACTTACAAAAATAGGGGGAACATTGATGGCAAAAGAAGTAAAAAGTAGTGTAAAATACACATGTAAACGTGTGATACATAAGAAAATGAGAAATAATGATATAAATGAATAATTTAGAAATAGATATTATGAAAAATGATAAAATTGAAATATTTACAAGAACCATGGTTCATGAATTCAAGCGTTTGAGTGTTTCATATATCGAACTTTAATTGAATTAGATCTTAAATCGTTAGGATTGCGCATTTTTAAATACCTGAAGTCTGTGTAACTTTTGCCTGTACTCGCATAATCGATCAAAAGGCCCGAAAGCGGCGAGGATATCATTCCGCCGATGCTCCCGTAAATCCTCTGGAGCCCGTAATCGGCCTTCTGTTCCCGCAATATCGCAATCACCGCGCCCTCAAACATAGCGAACGTGGTTCCGCCGATAACGCCTATAAACAAAATATGTAAAATCGCTTTCAGTATATAAATTATAACATTTCAAGCATAAGAATCACAATAATAAATTATAATTAATCCTACTGAACTATTGTAATAATATTATAATTATTACTATAAATTATAATATTTTAAATATTATAATAAATTATAACAAATCTTACTGAAATATTGTAATAATATTTTAATTATTATTACAATAATTTATTATATGGAATTATTTCTAATATAATGTAATGATTTCTTAATATTTTCTTGTTTTCCTTATTACTATGTATCTTGTCGTGTCGTTGTTAAAGCCTACGATATCGATGGACATAAATTTCACGTTTAACTTTACTTTTTCGAGTCAAAGGTCATTTTAAGCGCATACCATCATACATATATATCTGAACGTATTTTAACACTAGTTATACGACGCAATAGAAAAAGATAGGCAGTTATATGCAAAAAAAAAGATTGGTGACCTTGAAGACTCCGAAAAAAAAATGACAATGAATAAACAATATTCTTGTAAGTATATTGGTCCCTTCATCTCATTCAACTAACGTATAAAATTATTTTCTGTATCATCACAATTGGAAAGGATATTTAGATGGATCCTTATTTAAATGGACCATCCTGTATGTAAACACAAATATGAATGTTAGACTTTCTGTGGACTGGCACTGTATTACACATTTTCATAAATAATGAGTGCATATATATCATGAATATGTATATGAATCATTATATTATATTAGAAATAATTAAGATACATGTAATAAATAGACTGCGGAAGTTTATGCAAATTCAAAATTTTAGATCGTAATATCTGAAAGTTAAAATAGGACAGAATTTTGAATTCTATACTAGAGACTTTACTACCGTAGTAGTAAAACATAAATAATAATAATAAATTTCATTAAAATCTTGATTTTATAGAACCATCTACAGTCTAATAATAAATTTTCACACTTCTGTGTCAGTCTCCCCAATTCCCTTCCATGGAATCCGAAGACGCGCGTTAAAGCCTCTCCGCGCAGTTAAAACGACTTTACTGTAATTACTGGTTAATGAATCACAATTTCAATTTCTCTCGAGTTATGAAATTATTCTTTTCAGGGTCACGATTTTACCCACACTTCGGTGTCAGTCTCCCCAATTCCATTCCATGGAACCCTAAGGCGCCCGTAGAAGCCTCTCCGCGCAGTTAAAGCGACTTTACTGCATATATGAAATTTCACGCGATAAAATGAAATTTTTTACCTCGTAACACCTTTTCCCGCGGTATGTACTACTAACTTATCTGCGTATACTGACCAATAAACACTCTAATAGCGAAGTAGAGCCAGAAAGTCAGTCCCACATTGTACTCCATTATCATATCCATGTTAGAGCACATTTGCTCCCGTGGCGCAGTCACGATGCACCGTTTGCTGCACTCTTCACTGTTCAGGAGCTTGTAAGCCACCGGATTCATCGAGTAATTAACCAACGGCAGATTCAGGACCAGTCTCTCGTTCTCTGTGTCCGGATTACCGCAGGTGATTCTCTGAAATGTGTCTCCGGCCCACGCGATCTGCTCCGATACGTATCGCTGACGATTCAGCGCGCGATCCTCGTCCGTCACCTCGAGACTCTTCAGTTTCGATTTGTAGGAATGATAGTTTACCGTATAGCTCGCGTTATCCTGCACAGAATAAAACCAATTAAGTGATTAATGATTAATTCAACAATTTTTTGTGTTAGTTATTTCACTTATTCACCAGATGTTTCGACGTGTTCATAATCCAGAGAAAGAGTTTCGAATAACAAATAAAAGATAAAAGAGTATTTCACCATTGCCTAATCGATTAAACGTGGCAACGCCAATTTTTATAAGAGAATACTATTTCTTCTACTAAATTACAAAAAATTCTAAATTAGTGCAGAATTATTAAATTACTAAAAATTCTAATTTACTGCAAAAATTAATGAATTACCGAAAATTCTATAATAATGTAAAATTACTAATTACTTTGAATTCTGAATTAGCGTAAAATTATTAAATTACTAAAAATTCTAAATTATTGTAAAATGACTAAATTACTAAGAAATTACTGAATTATGGTACCTTGATCGTTAGAATCGGATTAAAAGTGCAAAGAGTTCGGTTCTCGTAGACCCTATTCGACATGGCGGTGTTCAAGGTTGATGTCTCAAAATCCTCGATGAATCCTGACACCGTGCACGCGAACTCGTAGAATTGATTTGTCGGGAAGAAGTACTCGTTCCTCGAGATCTGACGAATTGACGTCTTGTAGTGCTCGTCGTTGGTTAACTTTCGATGCTCTCTTAAGTCCTCGTCTCTCACTTCCTAGGATTCGAATATTCGATTAAATTCAAAATAATTTAGTACAATATAAATAATTCATAATATTGATATAATATAGATAGAATATTTGGTAAAATAATTGGACATAATACAGATGTAATACTTAGTAAAATAATTTAATATAATAGTGTTTAATACGATCAACATAGCAAATATAATTATAAATATAACTATAATTTAATGAACTTTGTTTGAATTCTGCTAAAATTCTCAACAGAGAGGACTAGTGTCTTTCCAATACCAGTCTCTGCAAATCGGTTCCCGAAAGTTTCGGTAAATCAAAAACAATCTAATTATTTAGACAAACATTTATAATCATCTATAGATATACTAAGCAGCACTACACGATTTCCACAAGCAACTATAAATATTAGATATTCGATTATGAATATGTATTTAGTTCCATATCAATACAAGTGACACTAAAATATTTTAGTCATTTAGTGAGTTGATACATACCACTGGTACGTCGTCTTGGGCAATCGAAAATTTGACCGAGGAATTCGTACCGGTTACCAAATTGTGCCGTTTAAGCGTGTATATTCTCGACGACAAAATAGCCTCGATGTCTGTGTCGTTATGAACATCCATGCGACACACGTACCTATTAGAAAAAGTATTAAGGAATTAGGCAGCGTAAAATGCAAAATTACACGATCACTTCTTAATTTAATTTCTCAATGAAAAGTGTTCCTTGCGAGTATATCTACATGAATGGCCTAGAAATTAAAATGGGCACCGGGGTTATTAAATACTGACAAGATCTTGTAAATATTATAGAGATAAGTATTATTCATACTTGTCGTGTGAGATATAGCACTCTATCATAACGCGAACTGTATTCGATATTCCTGCGTATTAATGGAGTTCGATAAGCCTCGTTATAACCTCAGAATATAAGCATATAACAGGGAATTGTTACTTTACTTTGGTACTCCGATTTATATTCTAAGGTTCTAAAGGAGGCTTATTGAACTCCATTAATATGCGGAATATTAAATGGAATTCGAGTTACGATGGAGAACTATGACAGGTATTTCATGCAACAAATGTGAATAATATTTACTAATATATATACATAATCACAAAGCATGTGAAGATTTAAGGAACTGTTGCTTGTAAGAATGTGCTTGTTGCATGTTCTGTTTTTGGGCACAACTTGTAGAAGTCTCCGAAAACGGTACGTATTCGTCAGAAAATACTTCATACTATTCGAATGTTCAAATATATACTTCATACTATACGAATATTTAAATGTGTACTTAATACTATTCGAATATTCAAATATTCGCATACACAGTACTATTCGAATTATCCGAATACTCCATACTATTCGAATTATCCGAATACTCCATACTATTCGAATTATCCGAATACTCCATACTATTCGAATTATCCGAATACTCCATACTATTCGAATTATCCGAATACTCCATACTATTCGAATTATCCGAATACTCCATACTATTCGAATTATCCGAATACTCCATATTATTCGAATTATCCGAATACTTCATACTATTCGAATCATTCGAGGTGTTCGAATTCTTCGAATAAATAATTCGTACCTATTCGAAATTATTCAAATTATGCGAATAGTTCGAATATCCAAATACTTACAGTGCTAATACCTACCCGCAACTCTCGAGCCTCGTAGAAACTGTCTCTTGCAAATTCACTTCACATGGGTGTTTCTGATTCATCGTGTAAATCAGTCCATTGTTCCCTGTGCAACCGAGGTCCATGATAACCCTGTTCGGATATTCCACGGTTATCCTACCAATGGGCACGAGCAGCAACAGAAGCGCAGCGAGTCCGCCAAACGACGAGAACAAGGTCAACAAAATCTGAATAAAACAGTACAATTTTAGGTGGTTTAGACTTCAACGGTTTCAAATAAAAATATATCTTTTGAAGTTTTTTATGTATATCCAGTTAAATAAGCTATAGGTATTCTGTAAATACAGTAAAAGTACATTCAAATTTTTCTTCTCAACCCTTTCGCTACAACAGGTTCCAACGTAAAGCAGGGTTAGGTATTAAATCACAGTTACGCGCAACGATTGCTAGCCAACGTTACCGCTGGAATTCGGCCAGCAGACTCACGCTCTGATTGGTCGGGGTTTTTTTGTTAATATCTCGTTAACAAAGCCTCGGATAACATTTTTGGTAAGGAAAAATTTGTTTCAAATCACCTCACGAGTCTCCCATTTCAAGGTCCTCCAAAATTTTTGTTACACCCTGCATATTCGGGAATACGTGTCACGATAGAAAATTAAACGTTTAACGGGATTTTACCTTGAAGTTGCCCACGCGATCAGCGACCATCCCTGCCAAGGGTGGCATCACCATCGCGATCACCGGCGTAATAGCGCTCATGATGGCGGTTTCCTCCACGTTTATGCCTAGCTCCCTCATATGTATCGTCAGGTATGGATAAAGTACATAGAGAGCTGAAAATGTAGTCCACCATTACTGTCGACACTCGAAACCACATCAATGATTAGACGATGGTAACAAATAGAGGTTGAAGTCAGTTGTTGAACAGAATTGCAAATTTTTATTCGACACGTTTACTGTTCAAATATTAACAAATAGGGGTTGAAGTCAGTGTTAAACAGAATTGCAAATTTTTATTCGCCACGTTTACTGGTCAAATGTTAACAATTGCGACTCATCCTTGACAAGATGTAGGTATCTATTCAAGTGTTCAATTTACTATTATAAAGATTTACAGGTTGACTCGTACATCATTGTCTGAGTCATTAAACTATTTGTTGAAATAAAGTAACGATCCATATGAATATTCAATGAAGCAAGCCTTCACGTGAATACATAGTGCGTTTAAATTTCCTTAGTCAGTATGTTTGTGTACATTAATATAACCATAACCTGTATTATTTATTCAATATGTGTATGTTGGAAAAATCCATGTGTAGTATTAATGCAAACATACAGGGTGTCCTATCTAACATGAGTACCTTAAATATCTTTCTTGTTTTTGAAAATAGAAAAAAATATAAGAGCAAAGTATTATTTGGTTTGAAGGGGCAAATATTATGATAAGCAAAAAATTTTGGTTCTTGATGAGTTACGTTCAGGATGGCCCATAAGTCACTTCACCATTAAAAAATTTCATACATTTTCTGTTAGTTAATTATTTGTATGTACTAGACTTACTAGATTTTTAATTGGTAAAGTGACTTATGGGCCACCTTATATACGAAAAGATGGGACGATAAGAAATTAATAAACACGAACGACAGGTTATATTTGTGAATATAATTAATAATGTTTTTTATTGGCTTACTGGACGCCTGAACGAAAAATATCATTTTCAGGGGTAGCAGCTCCTTGTGCCGGAAGTCCTTGATGATCCTCCGGAAGAAGCTTTTGATCAGCATCATCTTGTCGGTGATTGGCTATCCAGTGGCGTCGAACAGGTTTGTAGATAGCGACAACGGAAACTTACAGCCGAATACTAGAAACGACACCGATCGTCGGACATATTTTCGAAAACTGTTGCGTCACCGGTGCATGGTTCTTCTTCCTGTTGAAAAAGAAAGTCACGAACGTGCCTCATTTAACATTGTGTTGAGTGATCGCTCATCATAAATTACTGTAACAGGTCGAACACATATACCCGGTGTGTACAGTGACTTATTTTAATTAATCGTGAAATTACAAAGATCGATGCATTTGTAGGAAAATTTAGAAAAAAAATATAGAGGACCAGGGCGATAAAAAAAAGGAATGGAAGCAGTAATAAGTAATAATATTAATCATTTTTACGATTAAAAAGATTAATGAGATTAATCAGATTAATCATATTAATAAGATTAATTCTAATTTCATTTTAAATATCTCATTTAGCTATTAATTTTAAATATATGTATATAACAATAATATTAAAATGAAATAACCAATATTAAAATTGAGATTAATATAGATAAATCAATATTAATATTTATAGTTTTAAAGAAAGGGCTCTAGTTTTCAACATTCTAAAACCTGCAACTAGTAAAACAAACTTTTCTGTGATTTCAGTTTCTATAAAATAGTCTGTCTTTATTGTATACAATAAATGGTCCATATTTATTCAATAAAAATAGTCTGTAAAGAGAAAAATGATAAAGATCCACGATTTATCAGCTACACAGACTGTGACTGATCTCACAATCTATTACAAAAGTATCGATCTATTAATCACACACACTATCAAAGTAGTTAAAAATAATTTTTAAAATCAAATTCTCTAAATATTACACATTCAATATTGACTATTAAAATCACTTCCGAAAAGTCCACATTCGTGTCAATAAAAGTCACCATTATCTTTTCTTTCATTTGTCCATTCTCAAATCAATTCTTAAACCAAAAATCCATTTAAAAGCAATTTTTTTTCAAAAATCAGACGATTTTCCATGGATCACACAGTTCTTCTGACCGTATTAAGTACATACATTTGAAATAACTCGAACAAATTAGGAAGAGTGTTTCGACAATTCGCCGAGTGACACTTGGTCGAGGCAATCGTGACACTTTTCGGGACAATACCGTTGCTCAGCCGCGACCAACTTTTGCACCGCCTCTCCCATGAACGTGTGCGCGTCAGCTGATTCGACGTATAATATGCATATGTCTACAGCCGTCGAGTACCGTCCATCCGGTGGCACGTCTTGGGCATTTAAAGTGGCTTCCGCAAATTTTTAATAATTATAAATTTAGTTGAAAATTTAACAGAACATTCTGAAAAGCTTCAACTTTCGATTGCTACCAAAAAATAGCAAGGTCAACGATAAAATTATTGAAACAGAAACGTTATAAAAATTTCTTTTTAACGCGAGCCTTATGGAACTGTAGTTGATAGTGAAAGATTAATAATTTCTTATTTAGGTACAAAAAATGATGTTTTCATACAAAATTAGGAGGTTATAGATTTTTCATTAGACAATTCAGTCTTTACAGTGTTCCTTCGATGAATGTCGAGAAAAACGATTTTCTCAGCATACGTCATAAACTTTGGCTCAGAATGAGATGGACTTCCTTCTTCTAGTTATTTAAAAAATTTAAAACAAAGTGAAATGTCCACAGACTTCATCACTCCAAATAATGACAATAATTCAATATATGAATAAGGTTTCATATAAAATACTTGAATTACCGTCTCATCAAATATCACTTCAGCAAAACATATGGGATAAAATCAACATAAGTCTGTACTTTTTATAAACTATTAATATCGACAGCGTCTTAAGTCACTTTACAGCAATGAAAAATTCGTTAACGTCTGTGCGACATTATTTGTAATGAGAAAAACGTAAGTAACCGTGATAAATATAAGTGAAATTTTTCTTTATAGTCAGCATAAATATTTTTATGCGTATTAAAATGTAAACAATTTAATGTCTCAAAATGACAGAAAAGTGACTAATGCCACATTCAAAATAAACGGCTCAAATATATTCTATAATCAAATATATCACTGTAAAAAATATAAAGTTTACAGATTAATGTGCACAACAGTGTTGGGCAGAATTTTATTCGAATAATACACAGTGAAAAGCAGCAGTATCTAAGGGTGTCGTTCTGAGCTTCAAACAGTTAATGAGATTAAATAATTGTTCGACAAATGTCGATTCATTCATAAAGAAGTATTATTTCATTATAAAAATTGAAATTTCCACGTTTAAACAATTAAAAATGACGAAATACTTTATCTTTTATTCGTTACTCGAAACTTTTTATCTAGATAATGAGTTTGCCCATCTCTGGTGTACAAAGAGAGTGAATAATTACCAAATTGTTTCCGATTAATGTTTTCAATTATCATACATATGTAATTCCAAGAGCCACAATAAAAACAATAATGAGGCTCCAATGATTTCGCGGTCCTCGAATGTACAATTGGAGCGCAGCACGACACAATGAGGAATTAGATGTTGCGAACACTGTCATCAGTATTCGACGCACTGGCCGTGACAGTGGTACGCTTGTCAACACACAAACGCCGTGACTTTTACATAATGGTTTTACAGAAAATCGCGCTGTAAGGCGCGTGCACAACGGCTGTTCTACGTCAGCTTCCGCTCCATAGAACGAATCCGCTCGTAAACACCTCGTCGCTCGAGTTCTTAACTGTTCTAACTCCATTTTAAAATAATAAATTTAGTTAATCTACATGCGTCTCGTTGGCGCAAGGACTAAAAATTCCACCTGAAAAACAATAAATATTCTTTTACGGGAATTCTGTTGGCATTTTGATGGGCCTTCGTTGCAGTATTGGTTGGACAACAGTTAGAATTGTCACCCTTTTTTGCAACTGGGCCAACAATCATACCTAACGTATGGCCCACGTTATTATACTACGAAGAGTCAACTGGAGGTTTCTTCAATACACGTAGGCCCTATTTTTGGGAATTTGTAGGCAAAAACACTAACTATATCCCAACTAACTCCCAACTATTGGCCACCGTTGGCAAATCATAACTGCTACTAGGGTTATTAAAACTGAATGAATTTTTGGGGATTTCTTGTGAAGAATTTATTAAACCAATCTCTTTGAAATTTAATGAATACTTTATTGTACAATTAAACTGAAAATCTGAATTAAATTGAAATCTAATTCTGTTAAAAGAGATTTCTTCGTGACTTTGTTAAGTAATTTATCGACGTGTAATTTTACGCGCCTTGTATATTGATATGGCGTTCAGTCTCGACATCATTTTCTATTAAGCATAGTTGAGGTAAACTTAAAGTAATTTCAGTGGAAAAACATTATTCTATAGTGTCTCAATCTCTCCTCCTTGTTAGGATTTACTTGAATCACAGGGATACAGGGTGTTACGAGAAACATGGGACGCTTTTATTTTCAAAGTGAATATCACTCTACTTATATTACTCATTCTACTCATTTTGCCTATTTTGTTCATTTTACACATTCTACTCACTTTACTCACGTTACTCATTTTGTTTAATTACCCACCTTGCCTCATCATCCAGGCCTATATGTTCTCTACCGATCCTACCCTCAAAACCTTTACAACTCCTGATTTTTTTCTCAATAACAGAAATTCGTACCTCAAATTTCATTTCGTGTCGACCACTGTGTTATTACGCATTTTTCCCATTTTACTCATTCTACTCATCCAACTCACACTACTCATTTCACGTATTCTACTCACTTTGCTCACTACGCATTTTGCTCATTTTTCTTGTTTTACTCATTTTTTTTCATTTTATCCACTATACTCACTTTGCTTAATTTACTCATTTTTTCCATCTTGCTCATTTTACTTATTTACTCGTTTTACTCATACTTTACCATTCAGGCCTACATGGTCTCTACCGAACCTACCCTCAAAACTTTTACAACTCTGGACTTTTTCTCAATAATAGAAATTCCAACCTCAAAATTCATTCTGTGTCGACCACTGTCTTAATCAATATCAAATAAATTCTAAATTGTCAAAAATATCAGTCCGAATCATTAATTTCTTGTGTAAATCCATTACACTACTTCACGGTACACAACCCTCGAAAGTTCGAAAATGCTTTCGAAATAGGGTTTAGTATGAGATCGAATGGGCGACCCGAAATCTCAACGTCCATTTTGTCTACCAATCCCATCGATTACCGCACTACATCGGCAGGTCGTCTAAAATTAGATGCTTCTAACACAGGGCCTTATCTGTGTAATTAAATTTTCACAAACACGAACATGCCATACTTTTCTGAATTTTATTAAACAAATTCAATATTCATTGCATGAATAATATGCAATTATAAATATATAATAATACTTTTGTAACATTTTTCCCCGAAATGGAAAATGATGGCACCAGCCGCAGGCAACACTCCTAACAGAAGTCGCCGGCCGTAGGTAGCAGTCCGCGAGGAAAGTCGCCCGCCGATAATGTATCAATAGAAAAATTAAGAAAACAATGAAAATCAAATTTATTGCAGGTTCTCCACTTGTCTCGTTTCTCCGTTATTATCTATCAAATTGTCTGGCCTTCGCATCACGGTCTTCTTCGTCGACCTTCCCCCATCGTTAATTCATATTCCGAGGATCTTCCGCGACGAGCCATTGTTGTGCTCGCCTGTCCGCGCCGGTTGGAATTCGCGTTTATCAGGTAAAACCGATCGCTGAGTCGAGAAATGTCGAGAGGTGATGTTTATCGAAAGTTCGCGTGATACTGCACGGCAGGATGAATAATTCAACCGTGGATGGACGGGGACGGAAACGACGATACATTGCGTGCGGCAATGAACGACTATGATGACAGTCGTTGCGCAACGCCGTTTCGACAATGTGAATGGGGAACCGATAAGCCGAACGTTGCACCTGTTCTCGGACTTTTAGGATCATTTACTGATTATTCATTTAGAATGATCACTGTAAACAATTGATCGTTTCAACGTTATCACGAAATTAGTGTGTTCTATAGGGTGTTCAAAAACAGGTTCTGGATATCTGGACCCTAGATGTGTATTTGTGTATTAAATACACTTT